GAAGGAAGGAAGTGATGGATGAGAAAGGAAGGAAGTGATGGATAAGAGGAAGGAAGGAAGCAATGGATGAGGAAGGAAGGAAGTGATGGATGAGAAAGGAAGAAAGGAAGGGATGGATGGAAAGGAAGGAAGTGATGGATGAGAAAGGAAGGAAGTGATGGATAAGAGGAAGGAAGGAAGCAATGGATGAGGAAGGAAGGAAGTGATGGATGAGGAAGGAAGGAAGGAAGTGATGGATGAGAAAGGAAGGAAGTGATGGATAAGAGGAAGGAAGTTATGGATGAAGGAAGAAAGGAAGCAATGGATGAGAAAGGAAGGAAGTGATGGATGAGGAAGGAAGGAAGGAAGTGATGGATGAAGGAAGAAAGGAAGCAATGGATGAGGAAGGAAGGAAGTGATGGATGAGAAAGGAAGAAAGGAAGGGATGGATGGAAAGGAAGAAAGGGATGGATGAGAAAAGAAGGATGGATGGATGGATAAGAAAGGAAGCAATGGATGAGAAAGGAAGGAAGTGATGGATAAGAAAGTGATGGATGAAGGAAGAAAGGAAGCAATGGATGAGGAAGGAATGAAGTGATGGATGAGAAAGGAAGGAAGGAAGTGATGGATGAGAAAGGAAGAATGGAAGGGATGGATGGGAAAGGAAGGACGGAAGTGATGGATGAAGGAAGAAGGAAAGCGATGGATGAGAAAGGAAGAAAGGAAGTGATGGATAAAGGAAGAAAGGAAGCAATGGATGAGAAAGGAAGGAAGGGATGGATGAGGAAGGAAGGGATGGATGGGAAGTGCGGTGAGGAAGGAAGGAAAGGAAGGGACGAGAAAGATGAAGGAAAGAAAGAAAGATGTGATGGATGGGAAGGAAGTGATGAATGGGAAAGGAAAAAAGGAAGGAAGGTATGGGAAGTAAGGTGAGGAAGAAAGGAAGGAAAAAAAGAAGGGAGAAGGAAGGAAGATGCAATCAGATGCAATCATATAAATGCTTCCCTTAATGACCACACCACTTAACAACGAACCTCCCGCCCCCTGTTGTTCTGCTGGAACTCGAGGGTTGCTACCCATCCTAATTCCTCTGCCAGCGGGACCTGAATTCCAGGGGCTCATTTAGGGGGTCCCAAGGGCCACCTGGGGCCTCTCGTTCTTTGGGGGTCCAGGCCGCAGACCACCTGACCCAACTCACCTTTTCCCGGACGGCTTTGGCCTGCCGGTAAACCTCTTCCCGGTTGGCCACGTCGCAGACGAAATAGTGGCCCTCGGTGCCCATCGCTTGGAGCTCCTGCGTGGCTTCCCTCAAGCACTTCTCCGTCCGCCCCCACAGGACAATCTGCAAGAAGAGGAGCCCCCCACCCCATATTTTAGGGACACAGGATCAGGTCCCCCACGACCTTCCCAATGCAGTGATGCCGTCAACCATTGTAGAGTCCGACCGTGGCCACCTCCAGAAGCCGTGCGGCGGTTGAGATACCACTAGGAAATCCAGCCTCAGGAACCCCCCCACCCCCACAACAGACGGACGTCTGCAAGAACTGATGAAGTAGCAATAGCAATAGCAGTAGACTTATATACCGCTTCATAGGGCTTTCAGCCCTCTCTAAGCGGTTTACAGAGAGTCAGCATATTGCCCCC